GATATCAAAGATTGATTTTGTAAACACCTCCGAAAAGTTTCTAAATATGTGCTCTGGCTTTCAGCCAATTAAAAAGATTCCAAGAAGGGCCCAAGAACAACAATACACACGTGTATTGTATAAGAAAAATCCTTAAGAAAAACGTTTAATGATTTTACTATCTCAGAATTGCACATTTTCTAGGTTTTTATGTTAATTATAATTCTGACCAGCTCAATTCGACAATCTGTCACGCAATGACCGTTTTGTATAATCTGTTCCTCTATAGCAGTTTTGATTTCACATTTCTAAAACTAATAACTGTGATTGAGTTTGTTTTATATCGTTCCTTTTGAGAATTTTCCCCTCTTATTGAGACGACATCAACTTTCATGAGTGGACTGCAAATTTAAAACTCTGAGGTGTCTTTTTTTGCCAGTACAGGTTTATATGTCTATTATACTTATATTAATATAAAATATCGAGGAAAACAAAATGCTAGAAATTGTAATTTTCTTAGGTCATCAATATCACGCGCACGGGGACATCTTTATGTGCAGGCTACACTGTATGTTACTAATGTGAATAAAAATTCTTAAAATACATAACATGTATTATGAAAGTCGGGGGAGGGTGGTGGCAGCAGCCAGTGTGTGTTGGTTAGGGTGTGTATATGATGATTGGCTAGATGTGACAGACACAGTCGCTGCTGAATTCCCATCTTTAATTTTACCCTGCATGCATTTACTCTACATTTCATGTGCTTGCATTTTTCCCGAGCCTGTGCCAAGTTAATTTTCTAACCCGTTAGTTCTGAACCCTGACGACCGCTGTTCTTCTGCCGTATTGTTACGAAGTGATGCATCTTTTTTCTGACAAACAATATGATGAAAGAGACGCTTACTTCGTCCGCTGTGATTGATTTTAAGGATGGCAATCTGTTTGTTTAGGTGTAGGTTTTTACTGCTATTTGAGAATGAACGAAAGGCATTACTTTCTTGAACAAATAAAGATAACACACAAAATAATCCAGCTACAATATACTATAGAATACATGTACAATCTTTAAGATAGAAAAATCTGTAATATCTTTTTTTCAGAACGACTGAGAGGTTTTTTCCAGATATTCATGTTTTTGCTATAGTTAAGTTTAAATCTTAAAGTTTAACTTGGTTATTACCATTTCAGTAATTTTAAAACTTGACTTTTCTTTATTTTGAAGAGAATGTACTACATTCAAATTATTTTCTTTCAAAAACGTTTTCCCGATCCCCGAAAATCTTTTATGTTTTTTTATGAATAATTTTTGACCCCCTCTCTGTGTTATGGTGTTTTGAATGCAATAGATTTCCACACATTAATTTATGCAAAATTGCATGTGTAATGTAAATATATATATATATATATATATATATATATATATATATATATATATATATATATATATATATATATATATATATATATATATATATATATGCTTTTTTTGCAAATTGAAGAAAATTTAACACGAAAGATAATACGCAAGCTATAGTGTTCAGCAATTCATGGATTATTAACCGCTCAATTGTTTCATGAACTGTTAATTTCTAACAACTTTTTTTTTCGCCACAAGCTGCTCATGGGTTGGCATTAATTAAGTTCATTGCAAGTGAGATTAATTTTCTCTCTACCATGCAAGTCCACAGTTCCACTTTACCGATTTGACACGTCTTCCCACGTAAAAAAAAAAATCCCTACTTTTCCGCGAAAAAAGTCTATAAATCTGCTTTTTTCCGCGATAATTTTTTATTATTATAATTTTTTTTTTTTTTTTTTTTTTTTTTTTTTTTTTTTTTTTTTTTTTTTTTTTTTTTTGCCTTTCCACGATTTATTTAACCAGGGCTCTTTTGTAGGATAAGCATTGAAAACATAAGAACATTGATTTAAAACCATTGACAAGGGATGAAGCAAAAATAAAAATCAAGCATTGGTCTTAATTATAATATTAAAAGATCCACAATAAATGAATTTACGCATGCTTTCACATTTGATAATTAAAACCAGACAGGTTGCGAAAAAATCGCAGAAAAGCAGGACGTCACCAATCTGCAACGTCTCAAGCCACGGTCCGGAGTCTGCATTTTGCTTTCTCTCCTACATATGTACATGGATGGGAGATGATCGTACATTTTGGCCGTGGTCTGCGACGAAGGTACATGTACTCAACACTGTCTTTCCGTGATTGCTTTTTATCTCATTATTATGCTACTTCCTTAAGAGCAAAGCAGTATGACTTATCGTGGAAAATCATTATCGAATCGCGGAAATGTAGAACAACGCTAACAAAATCTAACTGCACCACAGATTGGTTATCGTCGCAAACCACGGCCAAAATGTACTATCCTCTCCCATTGTGGCCGTGGTTGAATGAGAAGAGAATTTTTAGTAGCTCATTAAAAATACTGATCAGTGTGAGTAAAGCATAGCCGGATAATGAACATGTCGCGACCTTTCAATATCCAATCGCAGTATACGAAATATTTCATGTATACTGTTGATGTCATTTCCGATGGAAACAAATTTTGTCATTGGTAGAACATGACGTCACAATATAGAGGCGTAAATATTCAAGATAACGACATTTTTTGTGCGCAAGCAGCCACGAGTAGGAGGACTCCGGACCGTGGCTTGAGACGATAGAGAAGTACATGTAGTCGCGAAAAGCAGATACTAAGGGGCTGAAATAAAATCGCGGAAAAACAGGAATAGCGGTCTATTTCCCTGAAATTTGAAGATTCAAAAATAACTTATGTAAATTAGCTTCATCACGAATTTTTAACAGTTTGTTTTTCCGATATTTATAAACACTGAGTACCTCTTCCGAGGAAGAAACCTTGGTTATTGAATAGAGCCTAATTTTTATAGTAAATGTAAGTTTCCAGAGTTGTACGCTGTTGATAAAAGGTCAAAGAGTGCTGACTGTCATTCTCTCTCTCTCTCTCTCTCTCTCTCTCTCTCTCTCTCTCTCTCTCTCTCTCTCTCTCTGTGACTCTCTATCTTGCTTGTGTGAATTTGTAAGGGTGTGCGTTTGTGAAGATTGGGTATGGGATCCAGATAGGACCACACAGTTCAATTCACTATCGCACTATCGAACATCGCGATCGACTGTTTATCTTTGAAGTACAGTTGTTATTAAAAATTGCTTTAATAAAAAATCACAAAATGTATTTCTTAATTTCATAATTTTTAATTATTCCATTATGTATTCAAGCCTAAATCTAAATGGGCTGTAGATGGATAAAAAAAATAAGAGGATCTGACACATATAGACTGAAAGAACAATTTATTGCAGATCTATCTAATTAAAAAGGGTTTGCTAAAAGCTTTACATCTACCAACATCCATTTTTCTTTTTTTCTGGGTTAAGTAAAAATACAGCGGTAAAGTTATCAAACATATCAATTAATAGAGCATGTTATGAATCAAAAGCAATATATACATTCTGCTAAAACGTGTTTTGTAAATGCGAGGGAAAGAACATATTGAAGTTGCTTTTAGAGGGTATTTATCTATAATGAATATTGATTAAACATTCCTGTAAACATTTGGCCTATCAAGAAGGTTTCAGCTAACTTATCGCTATTTCGGTCGCAGTTTTTCAAGCCAAACTTATATTTTCCTTTAAATTTATGAAAGCTGTCTTTCTTGACTACATGTTGAAAATACCACTGGGAAGACAGCCTTCATGGAAAAGAGACAATTTTCTGGGGACGGAGAAATGTCACCTTTGTGTCACATTCTATTACAATAGCCATCAAAATAGAATACTGAGGGGAAATCTATTTCTCTCTACTCAGGATGATGAACTGGTACTATTACACAAAGTTCAAGGTCGGAGATTTCTGGGTTCCCTGTTCGATGACAATGTTTTAAAAAGTGATAATCAATCTTTTCTACATTTTAACAAATGAATTTCACTTGTTAATTACATGTTCGTGTTAAGCAGGGACTTGAAGTGGTTATATAAAAGTATTTCATTTAGATTCTAAATAGTATAACTATTGACTGGTATTGCAATTAAAATTGATAGCAATTATTAATAATATAAGGGTGAATTAAATATATTATTTCACATGAATTTCTTATATAAAAACATCTTCAGCCAATATAATACTACATGAAAAAGTTACAAGTAAATGTATGGAAGCGTTTCCCTCAATAAAATTGCCCTTCGAAAATTGAGAAGCACGCGCACTTTGTCGCTACAGTAAGGAAAATTGATAGGAAAAAAGTCCTATGAAAATCAAATACACATTCAACACCGGACAAACTTGTTTTTCTTGTTACTTGAGCGATTTTACAAAATTCTTGGGTTTTTTTAATATATCATAAAGCGATTATTTTTGCTAACGCGGGGATATATACGTAAAATGAATTTTATCAGTTCAGGGTATACATACAAAAATTTGAATTTTCCCATAAAAATGTGTACTCATTGGCAATTGAAAATTGTTAAAATGAAAGACACATAGGTACGTCATGTTAAATTGATCTCTCTCTCTCTCTCTCTCTGTTAGGGTGTGTGTGGGTGGTCAAAGAAGATTAACTCATATCCGTAATCTTTATTCTTAATGTACGAACATTTGCTAAAGCGACTTCAGCATCCAACGTTGTTTTTCTTTCTTTGGAAACTCTTTTGACGTCATTATTTATATACTTCTAAATTGACATTTTAATTATGATTTTAATTTATATTTATACAAGCAGAGTGAAGCATCTTTTTAAAAAGTCCTAGTGAATATAAATCCGTATAATGTTGTTGGTGCTGTTGGAAAACAGAAAGATCTATAAAGCTGGAATGGTGTGATTTCAGTGCTTATAATTGAGAACGGATATTGTTTATTAGACAGAACCGCTTTACTCATATTACCGCACACCATGTACACAGGAGACTTAACCGTACATCAGACCTATCCTACAGAATTTACAGATATTCATAAATATTTGTTAAGTGTGAAAGGATTTCATTGATTGGTGGTATTTTGTAGGATTTTGGACTCCTCAGCTGGTAAGATTGTTATAAAGTAGATAGGAATGTATAACATTTTTTTCTGCCAATAGGAGTATTATCTGAATACAGCTGCATACTAGTAACAAAATCATGCGGGCAAAACGTTCATAATGATCTTAAAATTGATTGAAACTTTATGCTAGAATGTTTAACAGATAATGAGAGGTACTTTTGATAGATAGATTCTAAGGCAGGAACGGTTATGAAATTCTACTTGAAAGTGTAATACATTTCTTCAATTCCAAAGTTATTTCACTTTATGCTTTCGTCGTTCAGACCCCATTATTGAATAAATAAATGTTATTGCACTTATTTATTTCTGTGGGTAAAATATTAAATAATATTTTAAACTCACTTAAACTCGGTAATTTGGTGGTCTTCAACCTTTTCTGTTTGTAAGTTCTAATTTCGACCTCTCAAAATATACGCATTTCTTAGTGTGACTAAACTGAACTAATGTAAAATATTACAAAAATGTCTAGAATTAAAATTCAAAAAAATTAGCTGTAAAAGAAGTTTCAAATATTTTAAAAGTGAGCAATTTGTATCGATTTGGCCTTTTTTTTTAAATTAGATATATTTATGTTTGTTTATTTTTGATTTGATTTTTGTTCTTATCTACTTTTTTTGGGAGGGGATGATAACTGAAGAATAGATTGAATAAGAGGTACTGCGAGTACTAAGCTTACAACATAATACCCCCGCTTCAATGTCAGTATAATGTCAAATTCCATGTTGTACTATGAAAAGCCAAATTTTCTGTCCTATCAAAACTTAAAAGAAGAGGTGCACCATATCAAATAGAGATTGTATGAATGTATCACTAACTTCTTTCAGTGGTGTTGTGGATAAGAGTTGGTACCCAGGCGCGTAACAAACAGCTCCATCCCTATATACAAACTCTCTATCACCGCTATTCAGCCAGGTGGTAAAATTTGTTTTCTTTTCAACATTTAATACAAGCAAACATAATATATACGTTAATGAAAGTCAGTATCACGCCTGATTAATGATATTGTCTCAAATAAATATACATGTAGTTATAAGAATTACATTAAAAAGGGATCAGTTAGTCCTACATAGAAAGACTCAGGACTACAATTGATACTGCAGTAGAGCTATTTATGTACGTTGGTGCTTGATTAAAATTTACAATTTGGACGAGCTAACGTGGAAAATGGAGACTTGTTGATGTCTGGAAAACCTGGGGAATGATTAAGTTTGTTTCTAACATTTGTACATGCTGTTGTAATCGGTATGGGGCGGTGGTTTATCATTTATTTTCAAGTAGTAATAACACTCATCCAAGAACTTGATTTTCTCAGCAGACGCTGTGCTCAACTATCCAGAAATACCAATCAGTTGGCTTATTATAGTAACAAGTTATTGGCGCTATTGTGCTCTTGTCCTGTAATATATTTTTTTCACGTAGTATGGACGCAGAACACAGATCGCACTCTCATGATGCTCATTATTAAAAAAAAAAAGAAAGATACAGGACAAATGACAACTTTTTTTCTTTTCTTTAGTGAACTTTCCGTCTAATGATGGGAAGCCCACGTTAAATAAAGTTGGAAGAAGATTTTTTTTTAAACACAAGCTATATTTGGTTATTATCATTTATTAAACAGAATGCACTTGGTAAATTTCTGCTTAATAGAATTTAATGATTCCATTAAGATCTTTCATGCCATTATAATTTGGCGATCTCAACAAAGCTGTTTCACGTAATTCCTCGCTTCTTTCATCACACATCGCTGGTCTTTAGATCATCAAACTGAATTGTAACACATTTTCGAAATGGATGCTAGCAATTCGCCAGATTTAAGTCGTATAATACAACCAGCTGCCATCCACGGCCATATTTATCTCATAATATCTCTCAATAATCTTTTGCATGATTTATTTTAACGCTTCATCTTAAGAGCATTTATTTAATTTGCTTAAATGAAAAGTGTTTCCGGGCCCACATTTATTTAACTTCATTCAACGACGAAGGTTTCCGGTATATGAAATTTCTGTTTTTACTTTTTTCTTCTTGAGTACAGAACGTTGACCGATCAAGCAGACTTATCACATCTGAATAAACTTAGGAGTTACATATTTGTAAATAAGCTTGTTATGCTGGCTATTGGGTTGGGGTTCTCTACATAAATACTACAGTGTGTACAATGTATTACTTGATTATTTATATAGTAATTTGCCATTTCCAATCAAAATTATTACTGTTGGTCAGATCTTGTGACTTTTGTCAAAGATAAATTTTCAGTGTTCTTAACTTTTTTAAAAGGGCTGGGAGAATTGGGGATGGGGGTGGGAGTGTCATGATGTAAATTTTGAATTTACCGGGTGGCAGTAAATACAAAATTTACAACATGACGACTTGTAAATTTTGTAATTACTGCCACCCGGTAAATTCAAAATTTACAACATGACAGGATCGAGGTCCACAATGTGTTGTCCGTTTTAAATCGCACAAAGCTTTGCCTGTCTTTATATTGAACAATACGTACATGTATATTCATTGGAAAACCACAGGAGGATAGGATGTGGTTTAATATGACTGACAGATGTAAGGTTATAAAACTTGATACATTTTTTGCCATTTACTATCTAACATAATTTTGTTTATATTTACAGGGTTTGAAAAGTGCTAATATAGAGAAAGTCATCCAGTGAAGTATCAGTAAGAGGAGGATATCTTATCGACTAATCCATATAATTCACATGTTTGATCCTGTATTCAATTTCTGCTATGTCCGAAGTGCCATCTTTGTTTAAGCAACAAACACCAATTTTATTCCCAATTGGGAGCCGTTTGGCATTAAATTGCGAGCACAGTGTGTCTTCTGTGATGTGTTATGATAAGTGAGCCGAGGATGTCACACCTCTACCATCAGTGGTGAGGAGACAGTTTATAAGACAGCCAGTCATAAACAGTCAGAGGATCGTGTGCTCACTTATTTTTTTGTTTAAAAAGCTTCAGTTCAAAACTACGCTTACTTAGATATTCAAAACAATCCTTATATTATAAGGAGACTTAAATAACAGTTTTGACGACAGCTTTCTACATGATTCTATTGGATAGCGAAGACAACGAGAAATAACAAATATACTTACGAAATGAGATTACATAATACTGAATATAAAATCAAGTAGGTACTGTGCGATTTTTAATTTGTGCTGGAAGGATTGATTTTCACACTATCGCTTTATCGTTGTCACTTGTGATGGAGAAAGAAATATAATGAACACGCTGTCATGTAGCCCAAACAATACTGGACGGGGAAAGACAATATTACCGTGCTGACATGTTTTTAACAAACATTGGCTGCTTCCAATTTCATTCCTTGTCTGCAAATTGTCTGTCTTCAAGGTCAAATAGACAACACTTTAAAAATCTGATGTTTGCTCATTATCCCGCGTTTCGCCAATGAGTGTGTTTTTATGATAAGAAATTCATTTAAGTTGTATCAACAATTAAGTCAATCTTTGGTATTGATTCGGGAATAATTCCGATGTGAAGCTGGTCCTTTTTATGCGAACAATTAAAGGTTGACTCTCCGAGGACTGCAACAAAATCAGAGTGGGTTTGAATTGGTATTCGCTGCACAGGAAGACAGTGGAAGTCAAAGCAGAACAGGCACATTACTGGCATTTGTCATAAATTAGTGGATGTTGAGTACCAGCAATTTAATTACCGCAAGATACTATGGAGTTAAAGATCTGATTCACAGATATCCAATTTCTTGTGGAGGACGTTCAAACACTTCTTAAGCAAAAATATTATGAAGTATTTTTCAGTGACTAATTTTATTCAAAAACATTGTATCCATGTTTTCCCGTGGGAGCTAAATAACGCATCCTGACACCTAGACTAATGATTAATTTATGGCTGCTGTTATGGAATTTAATGATCTGCGATCGGATTTCGGAATTGTGTAACACGGAGACTCAACGCATTGGATTCACAAGATTTTATCTTCATGTAGCAACTTTGTTTATTTGATACTTCTATAGAAAAACAGAAAACTAGAACCCCAAAGGGTTTGGTAAGTAAAGAGTTTAGACTCGTTCTGGCTATATGAGTTTTCAAACATTATGGAGACAAGCATTTCAGCAACTTTCTCTGTGTTAGGACAGCACAATGAGACAAAGGAATCCCTCATCTATGAAGAAGAGGCTATCACCTACTCTCCCGTGTTCGGGCCGCAAGTAAAGAGTTTGGATTTAGTTATTCCAATAACAATCTTCCTAGGCCTGATGGTTTTAGCGACAATCATAGGTAATGTGTTCGTTATAGCGGCCATTGTTTTGGAGAAGAACTTGCAAAACGTAGCCAACTATTTAATTTTATCCTTAGCCGTTGCAGATTTAATGGTAGCTACATTAGTTATGCCAATAAGCATTTTAAACGAGGTCACCAAAGCCTGGTTTCTGCAGAACGAGGTCTGTGATATGTGGATCACCTTTGATATGCTGTGCTGCACGGCTTCTATTTTACATTTGGTGGCTATTTCCGTGGATCGCTATTGGGCAGTAACAAATATAGACTATGTACGTAACAGAAGTGCCAAAACGATCCTCATTATGATCGCCATTGCGTGGTTTGTGGGACTGTGTATTGCTATGCCTCGACTGTTAGGATGGCGCAATCCTGATAATGTGCCCAGTAAATCCGGCATATGTATGATAGACCAAGACATTTTCCAAACCCTTTTCTCAACAGGAGGTGCCTTTTATGTGCCGACAATTATAATGTTGATTATATACGCTAAAATATATCAGGTGGCACGATCCCGAATACGGAAAAAGAACTTCATTAAGAAACACAGTAAGAAACAAAAATTCATAATTTCTTCACCGTCTCCGACAAATGGTGTGACGGGATTGACTCCCAACGGAATGGCCGAGACTTCCATTATGTTGGAGGAGGCTTCCTGTGTGAATGGCATGAACGGATGTAGTGATAAAAACGACAATTCCAAAATGACTTCAAACACTTCTTCTGAAGAGGTTAAATTGGCCTTGCTTCCTAATGCTTGTGCAAATGCAGCTAAGGCTAAAAAACAGAAAGAAAAACTTGAAATGAAAAGAGAGCGAAAGGCTGCTAGAACACTGGGTATAATAACAGGCGCTTATATAGTGTGTTGGCTTCCATTTTTTATCATTGCACTTTTAAATCCTTTCTTAAAGAATATCCCAAATAGTGTCAGTAGCATTGTTTTGTGGTTAGGATACTTCAATAGCCTGCTTAATCCTATTATATATACTATTTTTAATCCTGAATTTCGCAATGCCTTCCAGAAAATTTTATTTGGGAAATATTCAAGGAGAAGATAAAAGTAAATAATTTTGTGGTAAGAATATCATATTATAAATTTCTTAAGATTGACATTTCGAGATATTTTCTTCATATTTTCAATATTAATCCATTGATGGACGTTTTTGTGTACTGAAAACATACACACAGAATATATACATATAATATTCCAACTCATATAAACTCATCTCGATTGTCGGTTGATAGTTAACTGTTATCTAGACATTTTAGTTTATTAGGTTTGTTATATGCAGTTACAATCATTTTTGTATTGCACATTCTGAAATTTATCTGAAAAAAGGTTTTTGATGTAAATAAGGCACGATACATATATTTTAATCTGCTGTCATTACATCAATTTGACAGTGGCGCTTTTCTGATAGTTCACAAAGAAAATCTTTTTGACAATTAAATAACCCATTTAACATATTTCGTATTAAAAATGTTAATAAATCATCTTGTTACATGTGAATCTGAGGTTACATATACAAGTAATATAATTATCTTCTCGATAAGAATGCGAAAATAGCCCATCCTAATTACTTCTAAAGTTTATTTGTAACGTGCCACAGCAGTGACAATAAATTCCTGTGAAAATGTAATTTTTATGAACAAAGGATTTTCCTTTCACCTTTATTAATTGTTTCTCTGTGTCGACTAACCCTCAAAAGTTGTTTTATGTTTGCTGTACATTTTCATTATATTTGTTGACTTTCTGAATACCAGTGTTGTAGCATAAACTTTTGTTAGGCCTTGTGCGTGAGGGGAAAAGGGAATATGCCGAGGAGCAATATACGGGTAGAAAGTATATGTTAGAACAATGGTCTTTCTGGATTAATTTTACTTAATGATATCATTAAATGTGTATTTAAAACCTTTTTTCCTATAGGCTAGACTGTCTCAGATACCCTTACCTCCATATATCAGTGACATAATGTTATATGACATAGAACTATTTTTATACAAAATGAATATAATTATTTATTGTGACCAAGTATTTTTACTGCAAACTACGGATATTTCTTGTAACATTTCATCACGTTTATATTTGAAATTCTGAAAGCAATAGAACGAGTTTTCTTGTAAGACATGCTATGAATTCTCAAGTACGAGGACCCACATTGAGCACAATAAATGGGTTAAATTGTATTTGTAGGGAGTTTCTTGATTAATACAAAAACCTTCATCCTACACACATCCTACATAGAGATATGACAATATTGAATTCTATGCATTGTTCTGCAGATTCCTTGCCTTGGATCTGGGAAGTAAACTGGCGCTGATAGAGATCCGAAAGTTCTATAATATGATCGGAAAACTTCCACACGAATGTTTCATAACCAGTTCAATTATACAAACTAGAAAAAAATTAAAAAGTGAAATACTTCAGAATTGTACAAAGCGCTTAATTTATTCATCCTACATGTATAAAATTTAACATATTTCCGATAAGAATTTAACATATTTCCCATGAACCCGGAACAGTTTATGGTCATGGATACGATAGGGACAGCTTCTCTTCATCTCAAATTTTTTTCTTAAATACAGTGGCAAATGGTGGTTAACAAATTTTGCATTATAATGAGAAAATAGCGAGAGATTTTTTTTTAGTCTGTCGGTAAATTGAATTTGATAAACTGTACTTGATATTCAAAGTGAAATGATTGGTATTCGTACTAGTGTAAGTATAAAGAAGAAACTTTTTAAAAACCAAATTCACACAAGTGCCTTTCTGATAAAAGATTGTTCTTCGTCTGTCTGTGTGTTAATATCAGACAACATATTTTGCTTAAATATACAACCATTAAATAAATGTATAGGTCTGAGAACAGAAAGTGTTAATTAGACACCTCTTATTAGTATGTAGGCATAAAAATGTACTGCGAATACTGTTTTGTCGACATCTTGAAACCTGAGTAGTGCGAAACTATGGAAAAAAATTAATTAATTGTGAATGCACTGAAAATTTCAGAGAAATATTGAGATAATAGAATGATTTCAGTTATTTGAAGCATTTCTAGATATTGCAGAATAACTTTTTTCAGTTGTGGTATGCTAAGTTTAATAGAGGATTAAACGTTGTGTATAGAAATACATAGAAATCACTTTAAAAAACCAAAAGAAACATAATTACTACATTTTTTACATTGAGTCAAAGGATATGACGAGGAATAATCATACTCTTCAGGAATAAGTGGGCCATGGACACTGTAGTAATATACTAGACAGTATATATTTTTGTTTCTTTGAAAAAAGAAAGGCTATTATAATCAAGAGGCCCTTTACCCTTTTATTTAGGAAATCAGATATCAAAATTGGAAATATTGATGATATGTTATTTTAAATTGTAGATTTAAGAGTTAAATTGTAGGCTTCATCGTTATAATCTCAAAATTCTATTTTTGTTTTATATAAAAGCACCAAAAATTCAATTTGCCTGCAATCTGGTATTTCTCAACTGGAATATCTAGATTTATTTTACTTGGCCTGGATGCAATGGGGGTTAAGGCCTGAAAATTATGTATACAATCATAATATATATTAAGAGTGACATAAAGGGCTTGTTAATTACATGAAATAAGTCAGATAGGCACCCACTCAGGTAAGAAATTTGGGCCATATTGAAATTTGATTATTTTGTTCTTTTGTCTCTAATACAAAAGTAAGAGATTCATCGCAAATATAAATAATGTCAAAAACAGTCAACATTAAAATATGAAAAAGTGTTTGAAACTGCTCTTTGGTTTGATAATTCTTAGGTTTTAGAATCTGATGTCATATTTTATTTATTGGCTTACTCAATTACCAGATTCTAGCCAAGATAATAGCATATCATCAGATAGGATAGACGCTGTATATAATTTGCAGGATTATGTTGATTACCGGTTACAAGAAATCATACCAAACACGCCTCAATGGGGATGTGATGCAGGTCAAAAATTGATTTAAGATGATTGTTTATTCCTTAAAATATAATTTCTTTTAACATTTAATTTGGCAATTTGAATACAGTAAAAAAGTTAAAAATAGTTATTTTAATCTGTGCGAGTTTTTATCCTTCCTTTCTGAAAAGAAAAATATTCTGCTTTTTGTGGGATTGTACAAAACACTAAATCGTTCTTTTTCTCTATGTATATCTAAACTTAGTTTTAGACTTTAAAGGTTTGGAAATAGACAGTTACAAGTAAAACCTTCTTTAAGCACGATCGTCCTTTAAGATACAAGTATGTCACGAATTGCCTGTTTCTTTCAGTGGCGCTCTATTAGAGCTTGAATGTTTGAACAGTAATATACAGTACATTCCATTAGTCACCAAACATTTATATTGTTTCCCTAAAGTAGACACCTCAGCCTATCCGTCAGAAGGCTTAATTACAGTGGTTCAGCTTGCTATCCAATTCTTTTTTCAGCTGATTTTATTTCATTTTTTTCTAATGTACAACTATTAAGTCAAAAATGATCCAATGTTGTTAGGCCTTCATGTAATCAACAGTTTGTGTTCCTTGATTTTTTTCCTTTTTTTAGAAACAAACATTAACGACATAATTTCTGTTTTAGTTTAATGCTGTTTACTATATTTAAATCAGAAGTAGATACCTTTACTTCTTTAAATTATACTTTCATTGTTTCTATTTTACTATAATCAAATTATTCATACATATATTTTCTTTTTCTTGAGAAATATATGGATCTATATGCATTGTTACAGTATAGTAACATTTGTTAAGGATTGATCTCTCTGTTAGGGATCCTGCTTTTGTTATTAAACTTTACTTCCATACTCTGTTATTGTATTTATTAATTACGTGAAAGGTTGATATCAGAATTTTGTGTTATATCCATCTGCAAACGAAGGGGAGAATATATTGAAATCACCTTGTTCATCTATTTATTTGTCTAATAGTTCGTCTGTCTAGCAGGGAGACATCTTTTATGCATGTACATATACACCTGTTCATCTGTAAGAAGTCTCTGTTTCTTCAAAATAAAAAAGTGTTCTGGCTCCGTCAGATTTAATTTTACGTATATCACAGCTAAGACAGGGGTAAGAGTCATAGGGGTGGTCACTCCTCCAGGGCACCTAATCTCGCCTTTGATGTTTCGAGATCTTTGTTTGCTCCGCTCCTATTTTGTAATGTTTAATGGAATTTTGAGCTTGTAACAAGACATATGCCTTTATTGCCCTTTAGTCAAATTTGTTTTGGAAAAAGTACAGGGCACATGTGGAGAATCATTGAATTATTGTTTTTAATGAAGATAATTATAGTGGCTTACATTTGGGAAAAAAATTGTGATTGGTTGTTGTCTTAACCCTAACCAGAGACATGTAAAAACCATCTCTGCCCTAAGTACATGAAATTTAAATGATGCATTTTTCAATATGTTACTCCGAAGTCTCTATCCCACGCACATCAGTTTACTAAAACTTTGGTCATTTGAATGTATCATTAGAGAATTGATGTATTTGTCGACTTAAACATTTTAGGGTAAACTAAGCATTAAAAATTCAGCATATTCAAACACAGTTCGAAATCCGTATTAAATATTCTATTGCATATTTAAAGAACGTCTGCCCCATATAAATTGTCTGACTACATTAACTAAATTGTAGTATATTTACAAATACGACTCCTTCCGGAATCAATTTTAACTTTGTTTTAAGAGAGCTTTATAAAATGTACAATAAGATCTCAAAAATTTTAAAAAAACGTTTGTTTCACGTCCTTATGAAAATTTTCCACTCAAATTGAAACTCCACACACAAGTTCAAGGTTACCCTGTTTAACGGCTGTATGCCCAAAATAATTTTTAATTTTAAAATGACTTCAGGCGCGGATCTAGATTTTTTTAAAAAGGGGGGGTTGACGAGGAAAATTGTTGCGTTTACATATAGTTAAACAACTTAATAGGCTACAGGGATGTAGGTATCGTTTTTAAAAGTGGGGTGGTCATTAGCCTGGAAAAAAATTATGGAAAACCTGAAAGTTTTTGACAAAGAAAGGAACCCTAAAATTCTATTTTGTAAGGATGGTGGGGGGGGGGGGGGTTAAAACCTAATTCTTTCATATATTGCTAATTTTTTAAGTAAAAACACAAGGATTTGTGACTCTTCTTTCTCTCTCTTTTGAGCAAATCCAAAGGGGAAGGGGGTGCAATCCCCGTAACCCCGCCCCATCCCCTCTGGATCCACTACTGGACTTAAGATATCCTACAATGGCCTGAGATCTTATTATGATCAAAGTAGGACGACCGAAAGCAATAAAAGGTCATTAGACAAGGTTTTTATCATAAGGAGGTCATACTTGGCACATACATCGCTGTGACCAAGAGGTCACAATTGTTTGGAAAATTTTTATGTCTCATGGATCAGTAGTTCGGTGTTTTTGTGATTCCAGCATGAAAAAATGACGTAATGACTAATTACGTTAGGAATTCATAGCAAAAGTTTGGATCGAGATGCAAGAAAGCCCTCAAATAATTACATTTAAAAAAAGATGAAGGGACTTCATTTAAAACTGTAGGGGAGATGGCAGCTCTTCTTACTTACCCTTTGAGGGTAAGCAGACTTATTTCGACAATTTTAGTTTTCTCAGTAAACGAATACTAGACTAATAAGATTCTCTTTAGAATACAAATAATCAGTTCAATTTAGGAGGGATTGGGCACTATGGGTAGATAATTAGTGTATCTTCAGAGGCAATCATAAAGACTTTATCGATATATTCTAGCTGTATATGTTTTGTTTCTTTGTTTTCTTATTTTTCTAGATTTCAGAGAATAAAGTATTTTTAGTTCTATGTTGGTAGAATGATTCAAGTAAACTAAAATTAAATTGTATCATTTGACCGATATTTTTACTTCAGCGACAGTAATGATAGCAAATTAAAACATTAAAACAAATGAATAAAAAAATTTGTGGTTCCCCGCTTTTGGTAGCTTTGTGGATGAGTTTCATTATTTATGGTATATTTATGGCATGTGAAACTGATGCAACAGTTATCATCAAAGTTGGGTTTTGTTAATTAGGTCAAACATGAAGGTAAAGGTTAAGGGGTCAGACATTCCGAGATACTTCTTAATTCTTTTAAGCGAACGTTTGATTCGATATTTGAAGGGTGACCAGGAGATGACTCTGAATGGAGTTTCTTCAGATCCTTGTGTAGCGATCTATGTGAGCGGATCATAAGATCTGATTTTAATCAGATTGTACGACATCATGAATATTCTTCAAACGGCCGTGAATATTTCCCTTATAAGTAAAACAGAATATTTCATAGCTTGGTTTGTGTAGGTGGCATCTGTTTTACATGTACAGCAATATAAAATCACGTGCAAGAGTAATCCCCGACTTTTACTGTAATATTCCTTGACGATCAATGGTACGAAAAGTATGTCATCTTAAAAGGGCATTCATTCTAAAACCATCTTTGAAAAGTCTGTTAAAATTTAATTTTCAAATAATTATTTCCATCTGTATAAGAAGCAGTGGTATTAAAAATTATTTTTTACGATGTCTTTGAAAGAAATAATATAAACTTAAAATTAGAACGAATAATTTTAAGAATTTTATAAACGAGTTAGCAAGTGCTGAACGTATTCAATCTCACGATTTTAACAAAGATAAGCTATTGTAGTTTTGAGCTTACAAGTATACACTTAATATACTATAAATATTTAGAGGATGTGAAAATATTCTTGCACTTAATCTTTTATTGGATTTTTGCTATTCTCTACCCAGATTTATCGTTCCACTTATACCTCTGTCAACGTATAAAATACGGAAGGCGAGGGAACGTGAATTTTTTCAAGTGTTGTTTAAAATGACCCACAAGAAGATTAAAACCTTTACATATTTACATGTAGTTATGTGTCAATGCTGCAAGTTGTCTATAAAAACTAAATCATGAATTTTATCAGCAATGCGTTTTAAATTTTCCACGTTCATAATATCCTGCCGAGAAATAATCCCTTGTAAGATATGGTGAAAAGCGATACCAGTACCTGTTTCTAATTCTCATAAATAAACTTTCAGTTAAGATTTAAAGCAACAATATAGAAGTTTTACATTTATAATTTAAGGTGCAATAGGTAAGAATAAGTTTTGCCACGAATCTCTAGTTAGCATTTTAACGTTGATAGAGGTGTTGTACAGCGAAACGTAATACGCCCTCTGGTGAGAGATTCGACTGCTTTCTTTTACACTAGGACAATGTACGGAAGCGCTCTTACGGTATAAATATTTAGCTCAACATTTAATAAAACGAAAATTAAGGGCTATTTCAAAGCACAAATACGTTGTTCTTGAAGAAAACGACAACCACCTTATTCACAACTCCCGGCTTTCACAAGTGAGTGCCTCTAGCAACATACCTATAACCACTGGAAAGGTTATCTTATCTACTATCAATTCTGTTTCTCCATACACAGGCGGATTCAAGGGGGGAGCACCTGGCGCGCGCCCCCTAAAATTATCAAAGTTAGCGTAAATCACAGTTTCGTCTAGAAACTAGTACCTAGTCTACTTGGTAGACCTCTGTGTTACCCTACAAAATCTCTAGAATCCAGAAGCTTCCGGGGGCTTCGCCCCCTGGGCCCCCACCAGGGCTTTGCCCTGGACCCTCTGGGGGATAAGGGGAATAATTCCGTTTAAAAAGGAACTGTGCCAAACCTGTTAAACACAAAACTGTTAGCATCCTGGCACCAACTTTCAAAAGTGTGGTCAAGGTTAATGTTTTTGAAAGTGGGACAAAGGTCAGAAAGCAAGGTCATAATTGTTAATATACTAAGGAGGGTGAGGGTCTTGTGTAACGTATTTTCATAAAAACACCCGAATCGTACCTGGTCAATAGTTGTATCCAAGCTTTTCAAAAGTTCTCCTTGGCCGCCATCTTAGGGGAAACCCCCATAGAATCCTCACTAGCCTTTGTAGTTTTCAGGTTTGTAACTTTGTCATTTGCGTGGAGAAAAGCTAAATGCATTTTGTGAACTGATTGCCCTAAGATGGGGCTACCCACAAATTAAAACAAAAAAATTAAACACAGTTACTGTAGTTCAAACAGAGCACACCCAAATGTTTGGTAACATTAAGAGAAAAAAATATTTCTTTCCCTTTTGACCTTTTGATTGACACCGCAAATGGAAAACAACTTTTGTATCTCAGGGTTGGGGTGTTCAATACATTAACTGGTTGGAAATGATAGAATTCTGGTGGACTGCCGAAATATACAAATATGTCCTAACCTTAACTAGGAAAAAATAAAATAATAAATCACTATAAACAGTGCGACATCTACCTCCGGACACGACATAGTCCAGACTTTTTACTACCATTTCTATTTGCGATGTCCAGAAATTTTTTTTTTGCACTTGGTGGGTTTTTTAGCAGCATCACATGATCTTAATTATGTTAAATTAAATAACATCTCTATATTTAAGATATGAAATTCCAAGATTCCCAGATTCCGAGATTCCCAATTGGAGAAAATATCCAATCTAACATTTTTTCCCATGAGAAAAAGTAGTATAGTTGTAACTAAAAATCCCACCATTCTCCCATGGGACTGTCTGAAGTACTAGATTTACTGCTTTCACCAACAAGGTATGGACGCTCAAGTGACGCACTGGTTAGAGTGACACGTCTGCTCTAGAGTCACGAAGTAAGGAGTTGATCCTTACTTCGCGGGTTCGAATCCCACTGGAGAGCGGTCCTTCGGATGAGACGTATAAACCGAGTTCCCGTTTCGCAGTAAGGTGCTGGCACGAAAAAGAACCCTCCCTGCTCAA